TTAGAAGCTATGTTATCAAAGTTGTACATTCACTTGACTATTTTGATATGTATTTCACACTCTGGTTTTAGCTAGAATTTGTTAAGATGGACTACCTTTGAGTTAGTATCAATAAAACTCCAGTTTTAAAAAAAAAAGCTGCTAAAAATAAAAACTAATTTGGTTGGTTAAAAAAGCACTTATACTGCTGCAAGAAAAAAGAAATTCCATTTCAGAAAAATAGTGTATGACTGTTTTCTGAAATTCAAATACGAGGATTATTATAAATTAAAAAAGATATCTGAAGTCTTGGCTTGTTCTTAGGGCTGGTTTAATAAAAGGAATCACTGCATTCTACTACAATAGGTAGACTTTAAGAAAAACTGGAAATACTAGTTCAATTTTATTTTCTTTCATGATGTACAAAATATTAGTCACATTAAGTGATAAATAAATATAATTCCTGGAGCATTTTATGTAATTCTCTATAGAATTTATTTTTCATTCTCTGTGAACAGTATTTAGATATACAATTCTCACTAGTGTTTCTGGAATTTCCTAGGTAGGATTTTTAAACCTTAGAGGTACAGGTCTATAAATGCAATTCAGGAATTCACCTTTGTCACTCTGAAGATAGGAGCACTGAAAGTGGTATATTAAATGCAAAACCATTCCAGAGTTACTGTTATAAATGCATTCATTATAATTCCTTGCAAACAAGATGCCTTTCAGGGCTCTGTTGGTATCTTAAAAAGAGAAAAAAAACACGACTGGCATTACCGTATTTTTTTCACAAATAATACACCCACATATATAACGTGCATAGCGTGCTTAGGAAAACAATGCGTGAGGGGGCTGCACAGTTGGCAAAAAAAAAAGTATAACGTGCACATTATTTGTGTAAAAACACGGTAATTTATTTCAAGTACCCATGCTTCCCACTTCACTCTGCATACCTACTAGGACTGAAATAGAATATGTGCTTTGAGATAAATTTATACTGTCATAAAATAACGCATATTATGATTTTAAAAAATTTTAAAGGGTTTTGAAAACTGAATTTTAAGCTTTATACTGTTGTTGTGTGCCGTTGAGTCATAGCCACCCCACAGGACAAAGCAGAACTGCCCCATAGGATTTCCTAGGCTGTACATTACTACATCTGTTTTGAACATTCAGTCATAAATTTGAGAATTTCAGAGAAAAGGACTTCATTTCATATCCTTTTTATGTTGATGAAGAGACTTAGAGGTATGGTGACTTGCCCAAGGCAACAGGGCTAGTTTTAGCAGAGTCAGAATAAGAAATCTAGTTTCTTGACTTCTGATCCATTGTTTATTCAATAAATAAATGATATTTTTTCCTATTTTGGTGTATGTTTTTCATCTCAGAGACTTTCTAGCAAAAAACAAGAACTACAATGGATTAGATGGCTGTAAAGCAAAACAGGAACTAAAATGGATTAGATGCCGATAATTGTTAAGCTACTAACTTTTTAAAATTTACATTCACATTCTACCACATAAAAATGGATGAGATCTCCAAAGAAGCACTTTAACAAAATAAAAATTTAATAAAATGTTCATTATCAGACATCAATATAAAAACTGGTCAGGTGAGCATATTTCTCCCTCTTTTCTAAAGCTATATTTGAAAAGATTATACAATGTTCCTTCCATGATAAATTATTCTTACAATTTAGGGTTTGAGAAAAGATTGGGAACATTTATTGCTCTTGATATGAGATAATAAAAACTATGTTATTTATTCTACCTTCCTTGACTACCAAGTAACTTAGTGTTAAAATTTTATATTCAAAGGAGGTAACTACCCTTGGTTTATATTTCTGAGTAAAACTATCTTCTCCCACTTGTATGCATATTAACTTATTATCTTTTTTTTTTTTTTACTTTTTTTGAAAGTAGGCAGGTAACTGGAGAATTAAAAAATTTAGAGATAGATGACTAAAAATAAAGGCCGTTTATAAAAGAAAGACATTTAAAAAGTTTTTAGGCTATATACCAAGTTAAGCTCTCATGATTACTTTAAAGCTACCAACGAAATAAATTGAGTTCAAGCAGAAAAAAATAAAGAAAAAAAAATCACACTTATATTTTATATTGGGCACTCAAAGTAAGAGGACAGGGAGTAAGGTTTGAGATGTACTATTGTAAATTATACAACAGGGAAAACTATTAATTATTGTTCACTTTTATAGTATATATAGGTTATCTATAGCCAAGAAGAAATACATGAACAAACAATAAAAGGGTTGTTGAACAATAAGAAAACGATTTAAAC